CCTGCAGGGAGATGCAGGGCCTGGCCAGCTGCCACGCGGCCTGGTGCCCCTCGACCCCGCCCCGACCCCCCCCGGCTCTACCGGAGCCCCTCGACCCCGCCCCGCCGCCCCCTGGCTCTGCCGGAGCTCCTCAACCCCGACTCGCCACCCCCCCGGCTCTCCCGGAGCCCCTCGACCCCGAGTCACCATCCCCCCGGCTCTGCCGGAGCCCCTCGATCCCGACTCGCCACCCCCCCCGGCTCTGCCGGAGCCCCTCGACCCCGAGTCACCACCCCCCCCCGGCTCTGCCAGGATTCCCCAACCCCTCCCTGCTGCTCCGCCGGCGCCCCCTGCCGTCCCACCTGAGCTCCTTGTCGGTGGTGTGGAAGGGCCATTCCCAGTTGCCATTTGCCACCTCGCACAGCGGCCCGTTCACCAGCCCCAGGGCGGAGACGCTCACGGCGTAGACAGAGCCGGCCACCCCCACCAGGGCGAAGAGGATGGACAGGAACATCTGGGGGAGGGGGGACCCCTTTAGTGCTGGGGATCAGATGCAGAGGGGACCCCTTTGCGGCTGGGGGGCCCCCCGCTAGTGCCTTGGGTGAGACTGGGAGGAAAGACCCTTTGGGGACAGGGGAAGAGCTTCACCCCACAGCGGTGGGGAGAGACTGGGGGGAGGGCTACAGGGGGTCACTCACCCCACAGTGGTGGGGAGAGACTGGGGGGTGGGGGGAGGGCTACAGGGGGTCACTCACCCCACAGCGGTTCCCGCAGCAGCCCTGCCGTCCGGTCGCCTGGATGTGAATCGCTGGGATCAGGATCTGGGGAGAGACAGAGTCAGTGGGGTGGGACCCCGATACCCCCTGTGCTCCCCTTCCAGCCCCCGCCCAACCCCACACTCACCATGGCGCCACCCCCGACGAGGCCCCCCAGGTACAGCACCTCGGGGGTGAGCAGCCGGCCCCCGTCCTGCACGTACTGGGTGTCCCAGTCGGGGAAGCAGAGCAGGAGGTTGCAGACGATGCAGGTCAGAGCCAGGGGCCACAGCCCCACACCCACCACCCGGGAGCACTTCCCTGTGCACATCGCGCCCACTGGGGGGGGGGCCCGACGTGGCCTGGGAGTTATACACCAGGGGCACCCCAGATAGCCCCGCCCCTGCCACGCCCACTGGAGTTTGCTCCCAGAGCACAGCTGGCTGGCACCAGCCTGGGGTGAGCGTAGGGTCGTGCCTGGGGAGAAGGGGTTTGTTCTGGTAGGCTCTCGGCGGGGGGGGGGGGAAGTGTTTGTTAGCGTTAGAGTCCCTCAGGTGTGGGGGGAGTGTTATTGTAGGGTCTCGATTGCGGTAAGATGGCGGGGTCAGGACAGGGCAGC